ACTTCCCCTCGCGCGAGTTGCGACATGCTAAATTGTTGGCCCATACTACGGTACCCGGTTTAGGGATACAATGGGCTCGGTACTCTAGGTGTACATTGTAAAATGTACAATGTATCGCCACTGTAAACACATGGGATCTACAGAGTGACTATGAAGCCCTATATATCTGGCTTTAAGTTTGTAACAGTTACAATGGTTGGATACAGCTTAATATTGTTACCATTGTTACAGATGGTTTCACCAGTTACATGTTGCCTTTGAATCCCTCAATTACAATGTTACATTGTTACATTGAAAGGCATGTAACCATTACATTAATATTAATGTAACTAATAAAACGCAATGTCAATGGTAACATCCAGTGTATGGTCTACAATACCAAATAGTTATGCCTGTAATATATGCAGCAATGTGTGTAGGTGCAGCACCTCGCGCGAAAGCGAGCGCCATTATGCTGCCGCGATGAAGATCTCAAACGCCCCGGTGCTGAAAGGCAGGCCACTCTCATTGCAGTGCCAAGGAATTGAATACTCACCTGGAAATACAAGCACAACAGGAAGGCAGGATGGGGTTTGGCGTTGACATGTGATAGGGCACACAGAGACAGAGAACGGTATGTGAAATAGAAGAGAAAAGTGAAGCAACGACTAATTAAGACTTTGCTTGAATGACATAATGGCCTCTTAGTATACAGACCAGACAAGTTGCGACACACGTTGCGTTAGTAATGGGCACAGAACTGACGATAACAAAAAAAATAGCGCATTATGCACGGTCAAACCTTTCACCTGCAAAATTGCGACACATACATTCAGGGTTAGTGTTTGGAGGACAAACAACAGAAACCGGCGACACATACAACCGTTAATGTTAGGAAAACAAACAACTGAAACCAAAAACAGTGCAAACTGAAGCAACAACGACGAGGCAGCAATCACGGCCACGCCCATATCAGCACGCCCATATCGCCACGTCCGTATTACCACACCCATATCGCCTTCTGACATGCCATAAGGTACATGCAAAACGGAGGAAACTGACTGTAACTCAACAAGCAGCGCTAAAGATTTCTAAGGTTAAAAAACGGCAGGAGTGTGGTCTCGAAGGTGAAACCGAAGCTAAGAAATGAAGCTAAGGAGGTTAGAAATGAATCTGAGAAGCCAAACCCAAAACCGAGAGGAAATAAATAAGAGCTGCCTGGAAACGGCGAAAGGAGGTCCATAGGCTACTAATGTTAGACTCGCATGTAGCAAGTTGTTTGAAAGACCGCCTCAGGATTGTAAAGAGAAGCTCGCGTGGCAGACTATTTATGCTCGTGCTCACATTGTGAGGCTCCATTCTAGAAGATCAAAATATCAACTGCGAGATTATAGGCTACGGAACGGAAAGTTGAGATGTGGGCTCTGTGGGCTCCAAGAAGCGTTACGATGAAAGTAGCATACTCACGGAGAGAGTCGGTACTAGTAACGGAGTGGGTCCGAAATGCGCGATAGGCTGCTCATATGCGATCTGTTCAGCAGTGGAGAAATGATAGCAAATGAGAGATCAATCGAGGGAGAACAAGGTGAACGGCGTGGACGGCGTGTTCGTCATAAGAGCTTACGTCCTCATAACGACACTGGGTTCAACAAGTGATACAGCAGCGGCGCAGGAACAAAACTGAATGGAACGATGGTGGCGTAAAAGTTTCGATTTTGGCTCATTCGAGAAGGTCGCTCCTTGAATACATCGGGTCCAGGTCAGCCAAACCAGGACGAGTCTCGCTTTCCGCTTCGCGTTGCCTGGAATTCGCATGCAGGCATTGGTCTCATGTACGGGTTGGCCGTGCAAGTGCACAACACTTGGGCGAAAAGTGGGTTCTTTGGCGAGTTTCGATTGGACTAAATATTGACCCCAGATTCGTGAACCAATCAGACAGGCCCTTTTCTCATCGCGACTTCAAAACACTTGGTGTACTTGAGACCCTGGCTTTAAATCAAATTCCCAAGGCCGTTGGGATGAAGCTCGGATCAGGATTCAGGAGCAGCAAGCTTGTTTCTCGTTTCCTACGTTCTTGCAGCCCGACACTCGCTACAGCGCGTGGAACGAAGGGAAGTTTTGAGTTGCAGTGGGAATGTGAGAGTGCTAGCGAGGGTTTCCACGATGTGCTGCATTCGTCGCTATTCTCCATATTGGCCTTGACGAAACCGAACCCAATCTGGCGAGTTGCTGTTCGCCTGCAATCCCCCCCAATCAGGCTTCGTCCCTGGTCTGGCGTGACCTGTATAGGTATGTTACCACCCGAACGGTTACGGTTGGAATTTCGCCGAACGGTTACGGTATGTTACCACCCAATTTTTTGAGAAACTCGAAGTCCTCGCCTGCTTGAATAGAGGCAGGCAAGAGTCATCAATTCTGCCTGCTGCTGAGCCATGGCGGCCCAACCTTTCCCTGCTCGAATGGATAAGGCAGTGCTTTCGGGCTCCTCCTACACTTATTTAGAATGCCTCCTAGACTGTCACTTCCATTTCGACTCGAAGCTTACGGGACTGTAGGTGCATATAATTTGCTGTTGCCTCACGTCCTAGGACGCTCGAGCCGCCTATTCCTCGTGATGTTTGATAGGAGGTCGGTACTGACCCACGTCTTCTTCGAGCCGCCTTCAGAGACCTACATTTGACCCCGTCTCAAATCTCTAACTTTCCTTTCTCCTGGTCACGAGATACTTTAATCGGATTCCCCATTGGTATTGAGTCGCGTATCAGTAGACTCCGAGCGAATCATGAGCGCGGCCGTGGCTAGACTAGCAGCATCGCTGCCTCTGCGGGACATTGCGATCGGTATAGCGATCGGAAGCTGAAAGCGACCTCCATCTTTGAGCGAATTTGAACATGAAATTCTGAAACCCGGCTGCTTTAGATGCGCGACTGGAAAGACAGAAATGCGGATTTAGGAGGCGGATTATGCGAGCGAAGGCGGATGATGGGTTGCCTCGAAAGGCAGAGGCTCAGCGACCAATATCGAAGTAAAGGAGGTGACTTTCGAGTGTTCTGCTACTATTTGCGGCTCCGATAGCGAAGCCGCAGGTTTTCCGGAATTCAATCAGTGACGCGATGTTGGCGAGGTTAGCGCCCCTGTGCAAGCACATCAGAGAGGCATAGGGATGAATCAATATGTGAATAGGGATCACGAGAAGGAAATGGAATAGAACTGCGGAAGCCGCATACACTGCGGCAGTCCGCGAAACGAGGCGGAAACACGCCAAGCAGCGCAAGCGGCGTTGGCAGTGGCAGAGGCGGCTACGGGGAGAGCGGGCTGGAGGGCGAGGGGGCGGTGAAGGGGGGCTGCTGATGGGGCTGGCGGGCAAACGAGAAGCCCGAACTCGGCAGGGTGAGACTCTCTGAGGAGTGGAGACGCATGTGAAGTTCACTCAGGAGACTGGTGAAGGGAGGGGCGAAGGGGAGATGCAGGGACGGTGAAGGAAGGGGGGTTGAAGAAAGGGGGGGTTGAAGGAAAGCGGGGTTGGAATTGGGTTAAGGGGGGTTGAAGCTGATGTGTGCGAGATGTGATATGTGAGTGCCAATATGTGTGAGTGGCTGTGTGTGAAAGGCAGTGTGCTAAAGGCTATGTGGAGAGGTTCTCGAGCTGTCGGTGTGGGGTGGGGATGTGTGCGGACCGTGAAGGCCGCTGTATTGGGGTTGCTGATTGGGCTGGCGGAGCTGAGGGTATAGAGCATGCCTTGGAGCAGCGGGAGAGTTGTAGAGGATTCTCCACAACACCCTGCAACGCCCCCTTCCCACTCAGCCGTGTGCAACTCCCTCTTCTCACACCCACTCGCACCAACTCACACCCACTCGCTCGCTCCCACTCGCACAGCCACACTGCTCGCCAAGGCACCACCCCAGGACCATTTCAAATGCTCCCCTTATTCCCTCTCTTTACCCTTAGACTCTCCCCTTTCACTTACCCCCTCATCCTCCTTCACCCACCCCTTTTAACCCCCCCCCTCCCCCTCCCCTAATTTCCTTCCGCTTCCCTTACCCGTTCCCTCTGCCTTGTCCCCTCCCCTAATTTCCTCCCCTTATCCCCTCTCTTTCTCCTTACGCACTCCCCTCCCCCTTACCCTCTCCCTTCACCCGTACCACCCTTCTTTTTCCCCCATCTCCTTCTCCCTCCCCCGCCCTCTCCCCTGACCCCAATCCCCACCACAACGCCAGGCTATGCCGTGACCTGTTTCGCCATTCATCCCCGTCGAATTGATGCGGGCAAATGGGCATGGCTGGGCCTGCATGGGTGTGTGTGGGCATCACCATGTGTATCAAGCCGGCCGTTGACTGCACCGTGCCCCCCGGGATGATGCCTCGCGGGATGATGCCTCACCCGGATGATGCCTCACCGGGATGATGCCTCACCCGGATGATGCCTCACCGGGATGATGCCTCACCCGGATGATGCCTCAACCACTGCTGCACCACTGCCAGCGGCGCCGCGGCCAGAAACGTAATGATTTCCCACCAACTGTGCGCGTGTCTGCCTGCGTTGCACATAGACATCTCCTGCCTGCCTGCCTGTCTTTCCCATAGTCCTTACCAGCTGTTGCTGCCCACATGAACCCTCATGCCACCCAGTGCACCCACTGCACTCACTGCACCCACTAACTCCTGCCATTTCTCTTTTAGTCTTGGTTCCTGCACTTTGCAACCACACTTCTCTTGCAACAATGCACTCTCCCCTCCACTCCCCACGCCCTCTCCCTCGCCCCCTCCCTTCCCTTCCCCCACCCCTCCACCCCAGCACGGGCGTTCGCCCCTCGTGCGAGTGCACTGACTACGAAGTCTCTTGTGTCGATCCTTTCAACGTGGAGCAGACAGTCCCTTTTATCTTATCCCCTTTTACCCCATCATTTCATCCTCCCATCGCCAATCATTCCCATTACTCGTCATCCCATCACCCAAATTATCCATCATCATTTACCCCATCATCATTTACCCCTTCCCCCGCCGTCCCATCATCCCCCCACCATGCCCATGCGGTGGCTTTGGCCCTCACTGCAATGGTTGCTGCGAAACATCTCGGCAGCTCACTGCCCGCCCTGCCGCCCCATGTGCGCAACTCCCTTTGCTGCACAAGCCACGAGCTATGTCAGCCCACATGATGTCGTTGGCTCTGTGCTACAACATCAGGGAGTGCGCCTCTTTCTATGCATCCTGACGTGCATGGCAGCGCGTCGCGTCATTGATGGCGGATGCTGGGTGTTGGGTGGTGGAAGGCGCCCATCATGTCGGGAGGTGAGAGGACCCAAGGAGGTGGGCTGGCGCGTAAATTCCTCCCCCATCCTCGTTGCCCAATGTGACACCGCTCACTTTCGCCTCCCTGTCTTTCCACTCTGCCATCCCCACCAGGCCTTGCTCGAAATGTGTGCGCACACCTGCTCCAGGGATGCTTGCATGTCCCTTGAGGACGGGACCTCCACACAACTTGCATCTCGCTTCTCACCCCACCAGGCAGATGCAACGGGCCCTCTTTCACATGAGTGCAGTGCAGCCAAGGCAGTGGGGTCGTGCATGGCTCTCTCTCCTCTCGCCCTCCCCTACTCGCTTCCTGTTCACTCACTTCCATTCCACCTTTCTCTCCACTCCTTCCACACAAGGCCCCGTTTCACATACAGTGCACCCAGGGCGGTAGGGGCCATTTCATGACTGTCTGTTGCTCCCCACCTCTCTTCCCTTTGTGTCCTTCTACCATGCCTTCATGACCCTCTTCCACATGTGTACTGCCAAGACAATGGATCATTCACACCAGTGCTGTGACTCGGGAACACTGAGCACACAGCCAAGAGGCAGTCCCCTCCAAGTTCTCGCCCTCGCTCTCCCCGCCCTCGCTCTCCCCGCCCACCGGGCGCCATCTGCAGGTGTGAGGGGCAAATGGGGCAGTGGATGGGGCCACAGTTTGTGCCATCCACAAAAGCGAGGTACGTGGGAGCCCTGTGCCTTTTGTCCTGCCCTACGCTCACCATCATCGCCCACCTGTCCTACCCATTTCTCTTTAACTCTCGCAGCCACTATTCGACTGTTGCAAAGCCGAAGGTCACCACCGCTGTAACAGTGAGCAGGAGCCTTTCTGAACAGTGGATCAACTCTCTTGAACTGGCCGCCTTTCCAGCCTGTCTGCTCTGCCGCATCTGCCCTTCATCATCCTCACCTTCCCTGCCTTTCCATGCACTGTCTACCTGTTCTGCAGAATTCTCTCTCCCATCTGCTAGCCGTATTCGCCAGGCGAAAAGCCAAGGCCAGACTCCTCTCAAAGACAATTCAAGGGTCGCAATCTGCCACTGCTGCTTCCCAAGAGGGGCGGCCTGTAACATGTTCCTTTCGTTCCTAACCATGGAAGTGCAAGGCACCATCTGGCATGATGACAAGAAGCTTTGGCATTTCCAGCTTGCAGCTGCTGATGTTACCTACCGGTAGTTTACATGTATAATGTTTCATTTGGTGAAAATAGTTTCAATATTGTCGCACATGCATGCCAAGGTCCCGCTAGGCCCCATGTTCGTGGGGTAGTTTAGGCTCCTCCCAAGTCTCCGAGCACAAATCCTGCTCGTCGAATCACATCACATCCCATAGCTGCTGCCTCTGCTGCTGCTGCATCAACCACACGCACAAGAGGCTGCCACTCCGAAGGCACAGCTAAGGGGGGGCAGAATAAGCATGCACATCTCTCAACCCGCTGCAGTGACGTGAGATTCTCCCAATGCTCCTCCTGCAGATAGGTTGTGTGCAGGCGTCGCAACTGGTGAGGCTCTTTGGCTTGCTCCGGCAGGTAGCAAAACCTAGCATATCGGTGGATGTGGTTGAGAGAGAGGTGCTGCAAGGATGTGAGGTGGCGCATCCAGGGAGGGAAGCGAGGGCCAACAACGCAGTCAGCAAAGGACAGCCATTTCAAACAAGGCAAAAGTTGCTTGTTCCCATGCTTCCTTGTGCTGCTCCTGCTCCTGCTAGTTATCTCGCTGTTGCTGCCTTCATCAGTGCTCTGGCTGCTCTCCAAGACACTGGCCATCCACTCTAGCCGTCTACCATCCTCCCGACACTTCACAACAATGCTATCAATGCTCTCCTCATCCTCTGCATCCCTCCACCCACCTTCTCCGCTAACCTTCATCACTTCCTCCATAACCTCAATCTCGTTAATACTCGCTTTTGCGAAGTTCTCCCCAATCACCTCCAGTCTCTCCAGCTCATGCAACCAGAATACCTCACTCCCAAAGTAATCTGTGTGAAGCTCCCTTACCCGCGGAGGCAGTCTTACGACTCTGGTCTTGTTCCACCCCCGATGCAGCACCAGGCGACGCACCGAATGCAGTCGTGCCAGAAATCTTCTTGGGAAATGCAGCTTGTTGTTTATTACAAGGGCGAGATCGCGCAGCAAGGGGAGCTCTGGCAGGCAGGCCGGGAGTGACTTGAGGTCATGGCAGCGGGTGATGACCAAACGCTGTAGGGAAGAGAGGCAGGAGAAGGAGGGCGGTAGCTCGAGCAGCAAAGGAAGGTCGTGCAGCCATAGCTCCCTCAGGCTTGGGAAGTTGAAAGCGAGGGGAGTGCGTGGAGAGGCATTTATGGCAAGGAGAGGGCAGCTCTCGATCGCAAGGATGGAGAGGCAAGGGGAGGAGGAGGAGGGGTTGAGGAGCGAGGAAGGGCTTGTGAGTGCTGTGAGATTTGGGAGGTGGCGAATCTCCAGGTGGGACAGGCTGCGCGACGGGACAGTATGGAAATTGGCACATCGCTCTATAACGAGAACAGAGAGCAACGGGCAGCGGGCACGTAGTGGATTGCACATAGCTGTCAGGTTGGGAAGATTGTGAAGCTCTAAGGTGTGCAGGCTGGGAGGAGGAGTGAGGAGGGAAGAGAAGCGCGGACAGTTCTCGATGGAAAGGATGGTGAGGGACGGGCAGGCGACGGGCAGGGAAATGCATTCGGGCAGTTGGGAAAGTTTTGGAAGGTTGCGCAGCACCAGATGTTGCAGGTTGGGCATGCGGATGGGAGGTTCAAGAATTGACCTGGTTGACTCGGTTGACTTGGAGTCAACGCTGCAAGTGGCAGAAAGGGAGGCGCCTGAGTAGCCGTCCAGCAAGAGGTGCTTGAGCGAGTGGTGCTGGAGGATGCCACGTGGCAGCTGATGCAGTGCTGACACGTCAGCAAGGTCCAGGTGTTGCAGCTTGGAAAAGAAGAGGGGGTGGCGTGGCTGTGCTGCTGCACTGGCAGTGCCGACACCACCCTGCTTACTCCGCTGCCGCTGCTGCTGAGCCTTCTCTTGGCAGCGAAGAAGCTTCTTCCGTTGGCGACGCTGTCGCTTTCGCCATTGGGGCCGCAGTTGCTGCCCACAGCTTGCCTCCACATCCTCCGCATCACTCGCACCCTCCGACATCACCAAAACAACCATGTTAACATCATCATCAGATATAACGCCATTCCTTCGCCCTTCCCCCACCCCTCGTTCCCCGCCCTCAAAAGGCACAGCTGCCAACCCACAGCCATCCCTGGGCGTCGTCCAAGCATCAAGCGTCGCCAAATAGCATCCTTCCACGCGAATCCGCTGCAGCGACGGCAGCAGCGCAAGCGACGCCGGAAGCTGCCGCAGCGCCATGCAATTCCTCACTATCAGTTCCTGCAGACTGGTCAGCCGGCCAAGGCATTTTCCGGGGAGATACGCCACCCCCTCCGCTGCGCCACGGATCTCTAAGCACAGCAGGGAAGGCGCCAATGGGGAGAGCCTCGGGATTGCCGCAACGCCAACGAGCGACAGTGACGTCAGCTGCGGCAGCGCTGCCAGGCGAGCGATGAGCCAATCACTGATGGTCCCTCTTCTGCTGCTGCTGCTTCGGCAAGAGTCCCCGTGTAGCGTGAGGGAGCGCAGGTGGGGGAAGGGGGAGAGCGTACGCAGGAGGGCGCGGGGGGGCAAGAGGAGACCGGGGGGAACAGTGATGGCGCGGGGAAGAAGCGCGGAGAGGTGCAGCCAGCGGCGGGAGACGAGCGCGCAGGTGAGCAGCGCCGGGGTGGGGGCGACAGCGGTGTTCTTCGCCTTGCGACAGGAGCATGTAGGGTCCTTGCAGGGAAGCTGCTGCTGTTGCTTATTGCCCCATCGATCGCGGATGGTGATGGTCATGGCGTTAGGGCACGGCTCTGTTGATGGAGAGCCAGAGTTAGTATCACTATTTGCATCGGTGCTACTACTTGCATCGATTTCGCCTGTCGTCGCTCCATCTACGGATTCCCTGTCGCTGCTGCTGCTGCTGCTGCTGGTCGAAGAAGGGGCGGTGCTGCTGCTGCCAGCAGCAGTGCGACTGCTGCTGCTGATGACGTAGTGGATGATGCTCAGCAAGACGACATCTGGCAGCCGATCAATGTCGCACGGCGAACACGCGGTGCAAGCAGCGCAATCCGATACAGTCGCATGCGTACGATCCGAAGGATTGCGAATGATCGTGACGCGAGGGGAGGGCGGCAGCTGCGGCGATGTACAGCGGCAGTAGCGCGATTCGTCCATTGGTGTCGAGAAATGACGGATGCAAGGAAACGAGAGGTTTCTTCACGCCTGTTTCAGCTAGGATAAAAGGTAGCTTATTGCTGTTGACGCTGTACGAACGAAAGCGCAACGCACTAGGGCGTGGAAATGGGAGGTGTCTGGTGGTGCGTGGGTTTTAGGTCTTGCGCTGCCAAGAGTGGTTGTGAAAATGATAAGGAAATGGAGAATGAAAGGGCAAACATGGGGATTTCTACTATGCTCTGGCGAACCTACGAAGCACGTAACCTAATGGGGCAAAGGTTCGGTAGATTCCTAAGGAGGTGGCAACGCAGGTACCACGTCATTCATTTCTTAGTACCCCAAACCACCTTGTCGTCCATTGACGTCGCTGACCAAACGCTAGTGTTGGCTTGGGTTTACTGTAGTGGGGTTTGACTGAGAGGACAGCGGAGACTACTCAGGCGGGTTTGTTGGTTTTGCCTGCCTGGAAGCAAACTATAGGGTTACTGATTCGTTCATGTCGCTACGGCATTGTGCGAAGTTCCGAACTCTGCGGGTTTCCGATTTCGCGGGAAACAGGCAAACAATTACCGGCCAATATCATTGATACTCAAAGTATGCCAGAGACATTTTGCGTCGGTATTCAACCTAGATTTCTCATCGCTGATTGGTTCTCGCTTTTCAATCACACTTTCATGCTAGTAACACCTCCTAAAAGTGACAGAAATAGAACGCGATTACGTAAGTTAAATATGAACAATTGTGTCGAGGTGCTACCCAAGAAAAAAAAATCATCGAATACTCAACCCTTTACGAAAAAAAATTGTATTTAGCGCGAATTGCGTAAAGATAAAGAAAAACCCCATTAGGAAAAAGGATGCAGACTGGGAATAACTCAACGGAATGGGGTCGACGGCACCGTCAATCCTCCGTCGACCGTGGACCTGCTGATATCGGACAGAAGAAAACTAAAAATCCATCGAATGACATGTCATGTGATGGAGGCATCAACCCTAAAACTTGACGACTTTCAGTATTTAAGGTTAATATCCAAACGTTTTAGTATTTTTCCTGCTTTTTTGGTACGTGCGGGTGAGGTGCTGGTGGCGACTTTGTTTCAGAATTGTGCTTACAACCAGATGAAATCGTATATTTAGTTACTATACCGAGAAATTGTCGGTTGAGTACGTTTGCGAACCGCTCCTTGCATAATTTGAGTATCAATGATATTGGCCGAAAAATTACACCTCAATACAACGGTACCTGGAAGGACCGGCTGGCACGGCTGCTCCGGATTTGCCGTGCCGAAGCAAAGGGTCCACGTCTGGCACATCAAGTTCGGCTAGCGAAACCTATCAAATAGGTGCGCCCTCGAGGAGCCGAACGAGGAAGGCGGAGACTTCGGTTTGGAAATCTGTTCGTTCGGATTTGGTTTGTGGAGGCGACATTACAGGGGTTACCAGATTTGTTTACGTCACTGGTATCGTACGAAGCCCCAAACATGTTTGGGTTCAGGTTCGGCTGCGTTGATGAGACTGCTGACTCCTGTTGCTCCGAACCTCTCGATTCTGCCTTCCCCCAAACCTCTCCAACCGAGGTTTTCGCTTGGCAAGGTTGTCCTCGTGTAAAAGGCCAGCCCTTCAATGTATAAGGAGGATGTCACATTCTTGTCATTTATGGCTACCCTGTTGAATCATCACTACAGCTCCCAACCTGAATTTCTGAACGTGCATAGCTCACTTCCAGGGGTCCCCCCCGTTAGGTAAGAATAAACCATCGATGGCTGTATCTAGTAGCTGTGCATGGAGCCGTACCGGCTTTTCCGTCCGCATCATCGTCGCATTGGCGAATCGTCGCCGTCAACCCAATCTACCACGGCAGTCGCTCTGTCAATAGTGATAGTTCCATCAATAGCCCCTGCTAGTCTTTTAAAGGCTATTAATAGACATAATTTTCAGCTAGCAGCTACAGCAACGACCCATCCACCTGCTCGTGTCGCCAGCTGCTGTTAGGTTGCGGCATTGTCAGCCTCGAGTCCATCCGACACGAACATCGCTCCCCCCCCACTGCGGAGATCCTCACTCGCACCAATGAAAGGGATTCCTGCCTGTACAATTTCGCTCACCAACCGGCGAACGTCATTGGTCGGAAGCCTTCTATTGACGGTCGCCGTTCCCTGCTTAGGCAAATCGCCATTCGCGTCGGTCGGATGAGGATGTGCTGCCCACTGGCTGCATGCACACGCTGCAAGTAGTGAAGGCGGAACGACAGGGCGACTTCTGCTGTTACTGGCGGCGGCTCGGCGACCGATAGCGAAACCACAGGTTTTGTGAAATCCGATCGGTTATGAGATGGTGGCGGTGGAAGCAGATAGGGGTAGGATATGTATGTGCGGCGGATGTACCTACTGTCAACAACTGATACAAAGACTTTTCAAAGTTAGAAGGAGCTTCTGCAGCAGCAGGCGCAGCGGCAGACGACAAGACTAGCGGAAAAAAACGCCAAGCAGCGCAAGCGGCATTGGCGGCGCTAGGGGCGATGCCGAGGAGAGCGGGACGGAGGGTGAAGGGGCGATGAAGGGGGGTTGAAGTGGGGGCTGCGGATGGGGTTGGCAGAGGCCATTGCCGATGCGTTTGGCGTTACCAACGGCGATGGTAGGGGTAGTGATTGAGAGTCAGTGAGAGGTCTTTGTGGGGTAGGGCCGGTGTGTGAGAGTCAAATCACTCAACGGGGGGTGAATGGGGTGAAGGGGGCTGAAGGGGCGGTGAAGAAGGAGGTGCTGCTGGGGCAGGCAGAGGCAATAGAGGATGCGTGAGGTGTCATCGATGGGTGGCAATTGAAATCGGCAAGATGAGAGTCAGTGCAGGGCGAGGGTGATTTTTGAGGCGCATAAAAAAAGGTGAGGGTCAGTGCAGGGCGGGGGTGTGGGGGAGATGCGTGCAGGCGTCTCTCGAGTCACTCGTCGGCGATGGTGGTAAGGGGGCGAAGGTGGTTGTAGTCAAGGTGAGATCCCTTCCCCCATGCACCCTCTAGTTACCTCCCCTCCCTGCCCGATTCCCGTTTCCCTTTTCCCACCCAGCCCCCATTTGCATAACTCTCACCCGTCCCATTCATTCAACTTCACACATATGCAGTCCACACCAACTTGTGACCCCCTCACATCTGTCCTTACCGTACAAGAATATTACTCACAAAGGCACTAACCCCCTTTCTCTCCCTTTTCACATTCGCCTTAACTGTCTCCTCCCCCCCACCTTCTCCCCCTAGCTTGCCGCCTGCTTCTCCTACACGAATTCCCGACATACGGCACGGTTTCCCACATCCATCCTCCCTGAATCCGTCTCACCAACGCACTAAAGGCTTCCATTCTCGTTCTCCCTCAGTTCTGCACCTGCTTCTCCTATACCGGCTTCCGGCCCACATGTTTGCGCCCCTATGGCACTGTCTCCCTCCACATTCCTCGCAAAAGCCACTGCGGCCTTCAATCCTTTCAATCCCTTCCCCCTCCCCCCCCAGATCTGCACCGCATATGTTTCTCCTACACTCATATGGGCCCACGGGTTTGGGCCTGCACAGCGCGGTCACACGACGCATGGCACTATCTCCTCCCCTTACCATACCCTCTCTCTTCACTCCCTTTTCCGGCCCCCGTAGCTATGCACCTATTGCTCCTATACTGACGTCTGGCCTGCAATTTGTGTCCTTATGGTGCGGGGTTCGGATTTAAAGTTACACACACGCATTGCTCACACACACACCGCCCTTATGGTGTGGTTTCCACACTGCTCACCCCCTGCCACAGACGGGCGCGTACCGGTGACGGCGAACCTGCGGGCTGCTGAGGCGGCGCCCTATTTTCAAATCCTTGATTGGCGACCACATGGGCGTCACGGGGAACCTACGCATTGTTCATTCCTCGCAAAGGCTGCAACGCACCTTCCCTTCAACACCCATTACCCTCCTCCCTCCCCTTTCCACCCCCCTCGTACCAGCAGCGCAGCCCCGCACATGGTTCTCCTACACTGACTTCTGGCCCATAAACCCTAAACCCTAAAGCCTTGGTGCCCCTACGACACCGCTTCAACTTCCCTCTCATCAGCCGCTATGCTCTTCACCCTTTCCCCCATCTCCCCTTGCGCCCTTGCCGTCCCCTTCCCCTCCCCCATTCAGCTTGACACCTGCTTCTCCCACACCAAATTCTGTCCCTCCAACTGCCACCCCGACGGCGCGGGAGCACCTTTTTTAAACCCCCCTACAGCAGCACTGTAGACGCTGCTGACGTGGCGGAGGTGTTCCAGAGAGGCTGAAGGCGAAGCTGGGCGGGGCTGCTGGGTGCCCCGTGTCAGTTTCTGAGGATGGAGGAGCAGAGGGAGGAGGAGGTGCGTTGAGAGTGAGTGAGGGGTAGTGGGCTGCTTGATAATTGTGAGTCACTTCAGGTCACGGGTGATGCGAGGCTGGGCGGGGCTGTTGGGTGCCTTGTGGCAGTTTTCTTTCTCAAGGGCGAGCAAAAGGAGAAGGAGGTGTGTGGTGAGAGGGACGTGGACTCATGGTCACTTACAAATCACTTGCAGGCCACCCTCAGGCCACTCCCAGTTCACTGTCAGCTCTGGTAATTCAGCTGTGTTTGTTGGCTGAGGGAATGACCTGCTGCAGTTCAAAGTGCCCGGAACTCCATACGTGTTGCATGCTCTGTGGCTAAATGCCCTGTGATAGTCTCGGATATCCTACTCTTCCCCCTCTCCCATCACGCACTGCCTCTCTCTCTCTCTCTCTCTCTCTCTCTCTCTCTCTCTCTCTCTCTCTCTCTCTCTCTCTCTCTCACCCACCTTTCTTGCATTTTCGTCTGGCCCCTCCTGGGCTGTCCACCGCTTCACCCACTGGCCCTCCTTTGCCCAATCACTCACCCTCAAGCGGTGCATAGTCCATCATTGTCCCCCAATCCCCTTCCCCTTACACTTTCCATTCTCATCCCCTCCCCCATCCCCTTCCCCATATCCATCCCCCTTCCCCATGTGTGCACAGTCCAGCCAGCAGCGTCCATCACGCTGCTGCTATCCGCCTATCCTGCACGCACCTCCCTGCTCTCTCCCTCTCTCCCCCTCTGGCCACCCTTCCCCGCAATCACCCACCAGGTGTGCGTAGTCCAGCCAGTAGCATCCATCCCGTGCTGTCTCTACACTCACACACTGCATTTGCCTTGTAGCATTCACTCATCTTTTCACTAGGGTCAGTACTGCCATGTATCGAACATGCCTCTACCAATTCAGGTTTGTACCTTTTATTCCTGGCACGCCACCACTGCCATTGGCACCTCTTCGTCTCACGTGTCCACCCTTTCAATGCGGAGGAGACATTCCCTTCATCTCACCTCATCATCACCCCATCATACCATTACACTGTCACCCCATCATCTCATCACCTCACATGTCCATCACCACTTGAGCTCATCGCACCATGAGCTCGTCACTGCAGGATCCCATCGCCCTATCACACCATCATCCCATTACCCCTTTACCTCATCACTCCATTAACCCGTCACACCATCACCGCATCATCCTATTACCCCACCATCTCAATACCCCACCCTATTACCCCATCATCCCATTATCCCATCATCCCATTACCCCATCATCCCATTACCCCATCATCCCATTACACCATCATCCCATTACACCATGATTCCATTACCCCATCATCCCATTACACCATCATTCCATTACCCCATCATCCAATTACACCATCATTCCATTACCCCGTCCTCCCATTACACCATCATTCCATTACCCCATCATCCCATTACATATTCCATTACCCCATCATCCCATTACACCATCATTCCATTACCCCATCAACCCATTACACCATCATTCCATTAACCCATCATCCCATTACACCATCATTCCATTACCCCATCTTCCCATTACACCATCATTCCATTACCCCATCATCCCATTACACCAGCATTCCATTACCCCATCATCCCATTACACCATCATTCCATTACACCATCATTCCATTACCCCATCATCCCATTACACCATCATTCCATTACCCCATCATCCCATTACACCATCATTCCATTACCCCATCATCCCATTACACCATCATTCCATTACCCCATCATCCCATTACACCATCATTCCATTACCCCATCATCCCATTACACCATCATTCCATTACCCCATCACCCAATCATCTCATCATTCCCCCACCATGCCCTGGCAAGTCGCTATGGCCTGTAGCTCCTCTCCACTCTCCCTTGCTTGTCCATAATCGTTCTTCCCTCCCTTCCTTGCATCCCTCCACCCCCCACCTCCAGATCTCCAGCGCATCATAGTTCGGCACTTACTCTTTCCACTCTCCTGTGCCTTCTCGTGCTCATGGCTTCATCCTCCTCCTCCCCATTCCCCCACCCGCACCACCCCCGTTCCCAGCTATTCCAGAGCATCATGGGGGGTTGCTATGGCGTTCAATTCTTTCTTGCCCACGCTCGTTGCTCTTTCTCCCCTATATCACCCTCCCCACTCGCTCCCACCTCTTCCAGCGCATGAGGGAAGGGAGCTACGGCATGCAACCCGTTCTCCCTCCCTACACCGTCGCACAACCCCTCCATCACCCCTTCCTCACTTTCTCGTGCTCGTTGCTTCTTCCTCCATTCAATTCCCCTTTCCCATCTTCACGCTTCATCTATTTGCTTCTTCGTCCCTCCTCCCCTGCCACACACACCCCCAGCTTGTGCAGCTCATCGTGGTGGTTCTCCCCGCCAAACCTCCTCCGCGCCCCCCCGGGCTGCCACGGCACTGCCACTCGCTTCCAGTCCCTCGTGCCCTCCTCCCTTGTTGCTGGCGAGGTGGGGGGTGAGGCAGGTGGCGAGCGCAAGGAGTGGATGGTGGGGAGAGGTGCTAGAATATAGCATTTGATTCTTCTAGTTGTGTAAGTGTAACACCCACTTCTGGGTGTACACTTTTGTTCGGGACACCCCAACCCCTTTAGGCCTCAATTGACGAGGAACCAATCATTGGTTACTCAAAGCCATTTCCCGCCCCCCACCCCAACCATAATTGCTGGCTACCCCCAACTCTACTGGGCAACTAACATTATTGGCCAACCAGTACTGTCGTGGGGTACCCTCAAAGTTCCTCTTTCCTCCACCACCTATGTGTACCATTTGATTGCTGATGGTGAGGGAAGGTGGATGGTAGGGAGAGGGGATGGTGAGGGGAGGTGGATGGTGGAGGGATGTGGATGGTGGGAGGAACATGGTGCAGGTGGGTGGGGGCGGATAATGCTGGTGGGGTTGGCCTAAAGACAGTGAATCGACTTCATTGAACTGGGCAACTTTCCAGGCAGTGTTCTCTGCCAGTTCTCATCCTCCTCGCCTTCCTTTCCCTGCCTTCCCTACCTTGCCTGCCTTTCCTGCCTTGCCTGCCTTCCTTACCTTGCGTGCCTTCCCTACCTTGCCTGCCTTCCCTGCCTTGCCTGCCTTCCCTACCTTGCCTGCCTTCCCTGCCTTGCCTGCCTTCCCTACCTTGCCTGCCTTCCCTGCCTTGCCTGCCTTCCTTACCTTGCGTGCCTTCCCTACCTTGCCTGCCTTCCCTGCCTTGCCTGCCTTCCCTACCTTGCCTGCCTTCCCTGCCTTGCCTGCCTTCCTTACCTTGCGTGCCTTCCCTACCTTGCCTGCCTTCCCTGCCTTGCCTGCCTTCCTTACCTTGCGTGCCTTCCCTACCTTGCCTGCCTTCCCTGCCTTGCCTGCCTTCCTTACCTTGCGTGCCTTCCCTACCTTGCCTGCCTTCCCTGCCTTGCCTGCCTTCCCTACCTTGCCTGCCTTCCCTGCCTTGCCTGCCTTCCTTACCTTGCGTGCCTTCCCTACCTTGCCTGCCTTCCCTGCCTTGCCTGCCTTCCTTACCTTGCGTGCCTTCCCTACCTTGCCTGCCTTCCCTGCCTTGCCTGCCTTCCCTACCTTGCCTGCCTTCCCTGCCTTGCCTGCCTTCCTTACCTTGCGTGCCTTCCCTACCTTGCCTGCCTTCCCTGCCTTGCCTGCCTTCCTTACCTTGCGTGCCTTCCCTACCTTGCCTGCCTTCCCTGCCTTGCCTGTCATCATCTCTCCCTCCCTGCAGGCCCTATTTGGCAGGCACAAGACCAAGATCACCACGCTTATTCTGTCTCCCTCCTGGCTCTTGCCTGTTTCTACAGCACTGTGCTTGGCCTCTTATGGGCCTTCATCATCCTCGCCTTCCGCAACACCGAGTAGCTGCCATCGCTCAACGATATTTCACCACTTGGCAGAGGGAAACGTGGATGCTGCGGAACGGCATTCTGCTGCTACCAATAGCAGCAGCACGTTCCGTTTGTTTGACCCCACCACCTTCTGAGTCAAGGCAGAAGTAACCTTGCTACTCAACAGTACTGCTGCTTCCTGCCAAGGCCACCGGCACGTTCCCTTTGTTCTACCCATGGATTTGCAGGGCATGCATGTCACAATCCGGAATGATGACGAGAACACCCTCCTTTAATGTGCAGCTGCCCGTTGTTGCTGGGTTGGGCTTCTGTAGATGAACTTCGATTTGTTGCGTCTCATTACAAAGCGGTCCTGATGTCCCTCTGGCGCAGCGCATCACCTTCATTTGATATGAGTGTTTCGTTTTTTAAATAATGAAGCACGCACGTTAACGAGCTTTCAGCTTTTAATGGCGAAGAAACCGAAATACTGCAAGGAGATATTATGGTATTATAATTCCACAAGAGTAGCAAAGGCACGAGCATCTTGAGCCCACAATTCACACTCCTCACCCTGAACTGAGCCAAGCCACAATACAGGAAGCAGCACAGTAGTTGGCCAGGCAACGCATGGCAGAGATAAAAGGCAGTCTGACGAATGCAAAAGCCCAGGGCGCAGACGAAACAGTGTGTGCTAGAGGCTTGCTGGTGCTGCTGATGTGGCAGAGAGCAGCAATGGAAGGGTGAAAAACAGGAGTGCAAGGGTGAAAAGCAGGAGTGCAAGGGTGAAAAGCAGGAGTGCAAAGGGAAAAAGCAGGAGTGCAAGGGTGAAAAGCAGGAGTGCAAAAGGGAAAAGCAGGAATGCAAGGGTGAAAAGCAGGAGTGCAAGGGTGAAAAGCAGGAGTGCAAATGGGAAAAGCAGGAGTGCAAGGGTGAAAAGCAGGAGTGCAAAGGGGAAAATCAGGAGAGCAGGGGTGAAAAGCAAGATTGCAAGGGTGATTTCAAGATTGCAAGGGTGAAAAGCAAGATTGCAAGGGTGAAAAGCAGGAGAGCAAGGGTGAAAGGCAGGATTTCAAGGGTGAAAAGCAGGAGTGCAAATGGGAAAAGCAGGAGTGCAAGGGTGAAAAGCAGGAGTGCAAAGGGGAAAAGCAGGAGAGCAGGGGTGAAAAGCAAGATTGCAAGGGTGAAAAGCAGGAGTGAAAGGGTGAAATGCAGGAGAGCAAAGATGAAAAGCAGGAGTGGACGGAACAGTGACTTCGAACGTAAGTATGCGTGGGGGGTGGGGGTTATGAGAAGCGTGCGTGGTATGAGAGCAGTGGGGACATGAGAGGAGTGGGGGGGATGAGAGAAATGGGGAGAATGAGAGACATTGGGGGTATGAGAGAAGTGAAGGGGGGGAATGAGTGGTGTATGTTGAACTGTATCAGGTGTTCCACCTCCCTATTTTCTCTGCGGGCCATGGTGCGATGCACTGGAACCCCTCCGTGGCGCACGGTCATTGGGTTGCTGACGTGGCGGGTGACAGCGTGCCACTGCCTGGCTGGACTCAACTCGACGACTTGGTCTGACAGTGTTGAAGGTGATTCTGTGTGTTGTTGCAATTAGAAGGGTTCTTTCTGCACCACGCTACAGGCACAGGGGATTCAGGCACAGGGAATTCAGGCACAGGGAATTCAGGCACAGGAGATTCAGGCACAGGGGATTCAGGCCCAGGGGATTCAGGCCCAGGGGATTCAGGCCCAGGGGATTCAGGCCCAGGGGATTCAGGCCCAGGGGATTCAGGCCCAGGGGTTTCAGGCACAGGGGACTCAGGCACAGGGGATTCAGGCCCAGGGGATTCAGGCACAGGGGATTCCGGCACAGGGGATTCAGGCACAGGGAATTCAGGCACAGGGAATCCAGGCACATGGGATTCAGGCACAGGGGATTCAGGCACAGGGGATTCAGGCCCAAGGAATCGAGGCGCATAACATTCAGCGTCATAACATTCAGGTACAGGGAATTGAGGCACATGGAATTGAGGCACATGGAATTGAGGCACATGGAATTGAGTGCGTCTGCTGAATTGAGGGTATCCTGCAGTTTCATATCTGCCAAGCATATGCGTCTGCTTCATTCACAAACATTATCCTTCCCTTCCCCTAGCCCCCCTTTGCAACCCATTTCCCACTTCTTATCGCAGGAATCAAGTCATATCCAGGCTGTGCCGCAGCTGCCATGGGGTAACTTGCAATTCACAGGCAATTAGCCTTTCATCCAGCGGTTCACAAAGTCAGCCTGAATAGTGTGGCTTTCAAACACAAAATTGATTTGAACAGTACATGGTCATGGACATTCAGTTGTCCTTTTGACAGCATTCACAGCTTCTCCTGCATGTTTACTTGCCTTGACATACTTACCGGTAGGATTGGTCCATTGATGCTGACAAGTGACAACGTAGCCTGAAATAGTTGTACCACTTTTCCATACAAATTATTTCTGACTATGCACACTGCATACAACAGAAATGTGGACACCTTTTCCTTTAACGAACAGGGGTACAAGAGACGACATATCAGAAACCACAATACGATTCTACGATATAACTGTACATTCCATGCATTTCCTTCGCCTACCCAGCAGAATGAGGTGAAGTCCGGTTACCTAGCAGGATTCCTTCGAAACGCAGCATCATGGATTCGCGAGCAAAACCAGCGTACCTCACTGTGAGGGAAGTCACTTGACTGCTGCTCTTGAACACATTACCTCCATCTTAGTCTTCACAGAAGCAATACCGGTTCGCGGCTCGGCGTTGCTACTTATCGATAGCGCATAACATCATTTTCAAACCCGCGTTCGAATAGTACTAGTCATTCGGAAAGCGTTCCTACTCTCCCTTCCCGTGCCTTCGTCTCAAAGCCATCTCATTTTTTAGAATGAGATCCACAACGCGCCGCATTTCAGATCCTTTGCCGTACCCGGCGCCCGTTGCGGAGCCGAGGTCCAAGTTTCTGCGCCGAGGCGTCGTAGCATCTCGTAGCAGAACGACGTTTCAACCTGCGAAACCCTAAAAAGAGGGCTTTCTGATTTGCTCTCAATTCATGAAGTTAACCGCACTGCTACTTTGGCGAGCTGATTCGTTTTTCTCGCGAACAGCGGGATGATAACAGCTTGAAACCCCCCTGCCCGACTCTCAATACCTTGTCGTCAAATGCCTCGACACATATCACCCCAGAACTGAACACAGTCGCAAAGTCATGTTTCCTAAAATCTAGATGTGCGCCAGTGCAAACACGGTGTCACCGTCCACATTGGATAGCCGTCGCTTCAGATGTCCAAATTAGATGTGCGCCACGTGTTGTGTTGTGTTGTGCGCCAGATGTCATTGCATCGAGCGCGACTGAATCCAGAATTACATTATCTTCGCCTTTCCACTCTCCCCCAATCGCGCCACGGCTATAAGGCAACGCCGCGACGTTCAGCTGATAGAATTCCATGTTTCTTTGATTCGCATGGCGAGATTCGGCATACGAGCAAGGCACTGGCGATCGACAGGGTGAGGCGAGCCTAAGTCGGGCTAGAGTAGCGAAGAGATGCGTCCCAACGCCTTGGAACTCCATGCGCTCGCGGTCGACCTAATTCGTCCATGTCTTCCCAAGTGGCGATTCAGCGACGAGGGTGGGGTGCAGCCCGGCACGCGATGCGGTGTGCTCGTCGCATGCGAGATGGTTTCGGCCGTGCGACAGCGACATCTCACCGTGAGGCGACAGGAGCGGGCTAACGAGTCAAATGGAGAGATCTGAGGGTCCAACGTGAGGTGAATGGACAGATGTGACTGTGGGGCGACGCTGCCATGGCATGCACGATGTGCTACCTCCCTCCTGTCCTAACATGCTTGTGTCTCACCCCGATCAAGCCTCCAATGTTTTCATCCACCTCGAATAAATATCTTGTGCTACCTCCGGAATCTGATTTGTCTCCGATTCGCCCCACTTCTTCCCAAGAGTCCTGCTCCTCGTCGTTAATTCTCGCCTCAATCCAACTGTACCTCCTTCCAGCTTGCTTAGCGCCTGTCTACTCTTTCTGTTCTGCTCCTCTCCATCAGCCGTTCTGCCCCCCTCCATCCCCCCTTGTCCCCCGTCCCCTCCCCTCTCTTCCTTACCCCTTTCCTTCACTCGATTCCTGTTTCTCACCCTCAACCCTCGCCTTGTTCTCCCAGACTCCCGCCCCTCACTCGGAGTTTCTTCTCCTTCCGTCTTCCCCTGCTTCCTCCCACCAGCACCCGATAGTGTCACATATGATATGAGCCACCAGCTTTGGGAATGCAGCCAGATGCACTCCTGCTCCGCCTATCTGCTACCCCGCCAAACCAGCCCATAGGAGGGGTGTGGGGTGCCATAGCCCTCCAGCACGCCATGGCTCTTAGGTGCGTCTCACGTGCGCTCGCCCCCAAGTTTCATCTGGAAGGGAGAGGTGTGGGGAGAAATGGGTGTGGGTGGGTAGGGCAGGAGGTGGCGGAGAGAGGCGAAGGTTGAGATGGCTTGGACTTGCAGGATGCGAGGCGGGCGGGGAGCTCTGCACGTGCACTGTACGTACTCTGGGATCTATGCACGTGCACATCCGGACATGCTCCTGCTCTCCGATGCCTTCGATGCTCCGGTACATATGAATGGCACATCCTACGCATGAGCATGGGCTGGGGCGTGGTGGGATGGGCGAAGTTTTGTGCGGGCTGTGCTTAGGCCAGCCCAGCCTGGCAGCACGGGCCGGATGTGGAGCGAATCACGACGCGGGCTATCTTCCTTCCGACGGCAGGCTGAGTCTGTCCGGGCCAGCCCGGGTCGGCCTGGTGTGTGATGACCCGAGATTAGGTGCAGCCCGAGGCGCACCGCGCGTGTGATGAGTCTGTTTTTGAGTCGACTCAAAAACAGACTCTTCCTTCCGACGTCAGGCTGAGCCTGTCAGGGTCAGCCCGGGTCGGTCTGGTGTGTGTGATGTGGTTTTTGAGAATTCTAAAAAATCGCTCACACGGGTCGGCCTGGTGTGGGCAGCTCGAGGCGCG